TCTGGGCGGGGGGGCGGGGGGGGGGGGGGGGGGGGGGGGGATGACACGCGTGTGCCTTGCTCAGCTGCGGGTTCGGCGGGGGAGCCGGAGCAGCGCTGGAAAAGATGCCTCCCTGCTCGCTTTTAACTCTCCCCGCTCGGCTTTTCTCTGCCGAAAAACCCAAAGGGGGTGAGGACAGCCCCGAAATGCCAACGCTTCCCCCGATCCGGATCCGAAATCGCCGTCGCCGGACATCGGGCCAAACCCGCCGCCGGCTGCGGGCGAGGATTTTGCGTGGGTTGGGTTGGGGCGGTTGAAGGGTTCCCCATCGTCCTCCCCATAGTCAAAACACTCCGGCTCGGCCGCTTAATTGCTTTTATGACACGTGGATGCTTTCGGGAGAGCGGTAGCCAGACAGACAGTTCTTCTGCTCGGGAGGAAGATTTCCTACAGCGTGTAAACATGAAATAAATCTTGGCTTTAAAAGGACCGGGGGGTGGGGAAAAAAAGGGAGCCCCAGATCAAACGCTTACTGGGCTTTTTAGAAAGGCGCTTCCTTAATTCCGCCGCCGTTCTTGGCAGGTCGCTCTGATTTGTTTGCTTTGTGGGTTTGAATCACCTGCTTATTATAGTTTCGAAAAAGGGCGGCTTTGAAAATGATACCAGAAAGACAAAATACCTCCACCTCGTTTTATGGGGCGTTGTGCTTTAGGGGCTGGAAAACTGGCGTGATTTACATGCGGCGGAGTTCTTAATGCGTGCTCTTTGTAAAGGGTTTATTTTCTTTGCTGTGCGGTAATAGAAATAAGAGGCCTGCCAAATTAAAATGGGAAACATTTGAAATTATTGTGTAGTCCAGACAGTCCACCTGTCTGAGAGTGAAAAAGAGTAATCGGAAATACAACGAATAGACACAAAGTTGTCATCAAAATCAAGCGTGCTGTTTAAGACCGCTTACCTTAGATTCAGATTTATTTTTTCTTAAATGTTTTGTGGTTTTGCTGCTGCACAGCAGAATCTTAGGTATGGTTCTAGATCAGCTTCTTTTTGAGGCTTTGTTTAGGTTGTTAACAACTTCCAAAAAGCCAGTTCACACGTTCCCTTCCTTTCATGTTTCATACGTACTGTTAATCTGTGCCTGCCGGTTGGTTAAATATGTTGGCGTAGCCTTGCCAAATTCAGGCTTCAAATAGTGCCTCCTCTCCCAAGTGCTTTATATTATTAATATAGATTACATTTTTGGGCAAATGTAATATAAATAATGCTATAATCCAAACATTAGCAAATAAACAGTGTATTTCATGCACATAAAAAGGCCGTGCTGAGGGTGGCAAGTTGTGTCAAGGGGTGTGGGCCCATGTGCTAGATAAGGTGTCTGGCAAATACTTTTTTATTTTCCTGTGGGTAGCTTCTGTTGTATAAAATTCCCATCTGTACTTTGGTTGCCATTCACATGTTCTAATAATAGATGTGTTTTTTTAAGATGGTGCTATAGAGAAAGTAAGGTGTATTTTCAGGTAATTCAAACCTATCTTCCAATGTTTGAGTAGGCAGTTTAGCAAATAGTGTGTAATCATTATAGATTGTGACTGCCTAGTGCTGAGGGCTTTAGCCTCAGTGCTGAATAAAATCCTGTCATATTCAACATAAAAAAGAAAAAAAGGTTTCTTAAATGGTGTAGGGTTCTTGTTCCTAGGTGAGGCTTCTCAGGCTGCTTCCCAGTAAGTGTTGTCTACATTTCCATCCAGTATTTGAAATTTCAGAAAAACTAGGCCACACTTACTATAATACATACAGTTTCTACTTGTTTTCAGCTGCGTTTTGGATACTACTCATTGCTTGCTTACAAGCTGAATTAAAGCATTAAAAGAATTAAATCTCTTTTTTTTTTTTCTTTTCAGGTATCCTTGAATTCATCAGTGTGGCAGTGGGACTGGTCAGTATTAGAGGCGTGGACAGTGGCCTTTACCTTGGAATGAATGACAAGGGAGAACTCTACGGCTCTGTAAGTACCGCTTCCGTGTCAGCTGATATCTGTTGAGGTTTTGCTTCACTCCTTAGCGCTATGCCAACCCCTTGAGTAGCTAGCTGAGGTAGTATTAGCTTCCAAAACACTCACATCTTTTCCTGTTGGAATGTATAATGTATTTTTAAAGTATACGGTGTAGCCTTGGATACTAAAGATTTGATGGGAAAAGTTTGTCCTAGATGAAGAGAACTGAAAAGAAATATTCCTCTTAAATGGTGATGAAAATAGCTAACTAAACTAGCTATGCAAACGGCATTTAAGTTGCCTGCTATCTAATCTTCTTTTTATCAATACTGCAAGTGTATTGTAGGGCATACTCTGTCAGTGAAAACATTGAATGCAGCTGGAAAAAAGTTAAAAGGATAATTATGGACCAAATAAACAGCAATGAATATAAAATCCTGACTGACTTTATGCTGCTTTATAAATCAGCAGGTGGCACTTCCACGTACCACCTTTTTAACATAAAAGCATTCTTTCAAATGCTGGGAAAAAGAGGATGATGCCATATGTCACTGCTGGGTACCACTGTTCTTTGAAAAATGAGTGGTGCAATAGGAGTGGCAGTATCTGTAGATCCCGACAGCGGGATATTTGCGCTTAAGAATGAAAATAAGCTTGTACTCATTAGAGTTGATTTGCATCTGTTGAATAACTTCAACGTGTGACCGTAAAAATAAAATCTTTGATGTTTCCAATATTATCAGGGTAATAACAATCTTAGACTCCTTCTCCTTCCACACCTTAAAACACCTTGAGATAAAATAGTCTGTCTCTCCGGTTCCTTTGGTGTGGTTTGCGCTATTTGAAATGTGAGAAGTGATGCACACCACAAAGAACACGTGGAAAGGCCTTCCTGATCTGTTGCACTGTCCCTTCACCAAGTCTCATTTCTAGAATGGTAGGTACCCCAAGACAGAACTATACATAATATAGTTCCTGTAGGTTAGGTGAATTCTAGTTAAATCATAAATAAGTAATGCCACCTTAGAGAGAGTTAGCTAATTAGTGTTTAAATCCAAAATTGTACAGGTACATATCCAGTTTTCAAAAGAGTAAAGTAGGCTTCAGTAGGTGGCAGGTCTACACGCTCTCCTCGGGTGTGATATGTTGACAGGTAAATGAACAATAAGGCTGCACAGAGCCTAGAACATTTTGCTTATTTTTTCCATGTGTGTTCAGATATCTAGTGACAGCTGGACTTATTTTTCTTTGCTGTTTCTTTCTGTAGGAGAAGCTAACTTCTGAGTGCATCTTCAGGGAGCAGTTTGAGGAAAACTGGTACAACACTTACTCATCCAACGTGTACAAACATGGAGACTCGGGACGGCGATACTTCGTAGCACTTAACAAAGATGGTACTCCCAGAGACGGGGCAAGGTCCAAAAGACACCAGAAATTCACTCATTTCTTGCCCCGGCCTGTGGATCCTGAACGAGTTCCAGAACTGTACAAAGACGTGTTAGGATACAGTTGAGGAAGGAGGCAACTTTGGAAGAAACCCATACTGGAGCTGTTGCCCCTGCTTCCGTGGCATTACCAGCGTGAGGAACCTGCAGAGGTCTGGGATGCTGGGTTGGAAGAAGCTGTTTTGGGATAGGCAAGCCTCTGTTGTCTGACCTTTGGATTTGGGAGACAAAGCCTGAAAGCTGAGGGTGGGCCAGCCGCCTTCAAGCTTGGTGGACTGTTTGGTAGCCAGTAACCAGAGGGAAGCTGGAGTGTGACTTTTTAAAAAATAACAAACTCTTGGCAATTTTGTCTGGATTACCTACGGTCCGTAAATTAGCAAAGAGCTGCCTACATCACGTGGGTGAGACGACGGCTGGAAGAAATAAAGACATGGACTGTAAAATGGTAGTAAGTCCTGAGAACAGTGTGTGAAGTTTTAGTGGCTCCACTTTAGTGATGGACCTTAGATGTCGATGCATCGTAGTCAGAGCTGGGACTTTTCTTCAGGATGGACCTATTTATACATCTCCAGATAGCAGATATTTATTTTATATATTTATTTATTAAAGAGTTTATTTTTTACTGGGATATGAAGAGAATACCAGCCCCTAACCCTGATGAGGAACCATTTACAGTGCCAATATTTACTCTGAGTAATGTCATGATACAGAAATGACATTACATTGCAATGCATCTGAAACCTGAACGTTCGTATACCATTGTTTATCAGTTACAGATAAGGCTATATTTTATGCACATACTGTTGCCTTGTGACTGTCATTATTTTGGAAAGAATGTTTAATTTTTTTTTTTTTTACCTGTGAGAGTGCCTTACGGATCTGTATTGAATTCAAATGCACATTTAAAAAGGGAATTAAAAGTGATTTCACTTTATTTGGTTTACTGTCATTTTTAAATTGAGAGTCTCTTGGCACACTATGTGTAATATTTCAGACCTGCAACAACTGTGAAGAGTGTATTGCAGTTACCTTGAAAGAAAAAAGTAATAGTAGCTCTTGAAATCTTGATTCAAATCGTAACATGCTTGATGTTTTTTTGCCAAGTGGTTCCTACTGTCTTTATTCACACACAGATAACTATCCTCTGTGTTACTTTAAGTTTTTGTGTAGGATTCTCAGCACTATAGAAGAGATTTTAATTATATTCCCTAGGGGAAACAGGGTAAGAAGTTTCTGATCTCGCTGAATGAAAAGCTTCTGTGAGTGAAGGTTGTTTCTCCCCTGTGTACAGAGGAGCCTAAAAAGACGACTTTCTTGTCTTAATTCCTCCTTTAGGGAATAATCTCAGTATAAGTTTTTGTGGGAAGACTGTCAGGACAAAGATGAACTCTGTCTCTATGCTAGTTGCAGCTCTACAACAGGCACATCGCACCGATTTAATTCAGGACTGTCAGTTATGAAGCACAAACTCATCTGCACAGTGACTAACAGGAAAGTCGCTGCTCTCTGTGAGAACACTAAGGGTTAATGACAGACCCTGTACGATTTGGACCTAAACCTGCCGCAGCTTGCTGCCGGATGGTTTCCATCCTCCACGGGAAGGCTGGTCCAGGCAACAGGCTGCAGGAGAGGCCGCAAGATTCATCCTGTGGCAGAGGTGCCAATGCTCCCTGTGGGCTGTAGCTCAAGATAACTCTTTTGAGTTCTGCTTTGTGGAAGCATGTACGGTTCAAGTACCGCATGTGCATCATTTATATCAAATCAAGATATTAACAGAAAACATTTTCCAGTATAGAAAGTATATAACACAGTTCCTAGAACCATCACCCTACCAGAACTTCTTCCAGTTTATAGCGAGATGTGGATGAGCACAGATTGCAGATGGACTGCGGAAAAAATAATCTTACTTTCTGCCAAATAGAAAGTGAATACACTTAACACCGAAAGATGTTTCAGCACTTTGTGGCTAGCAATATGTAACCTACTAAGGTTAAAGGCTTCATTAAATTTTTCTGAAAACCAGGCAGTGGAAGATGTACTGTGCGCTGTTCAGTAAAATAATGTTGTGATGCGCTTCAATTTACCGTAAAATAATTATTTTCTGGGTGACCCTGAGTCCCGCTAGTAATAGATCAATAAATGGAAACAAAAGTACATGCTTTAAATAGCTACAATTTGTAACAAACCAGTGGCTGCTGCCCGGGACGTAATTCCCAGGCATTTCTGGCAAACATGCTCAGTATTTAGCTCATACCGATTAAATAGTTCTCTCTCTTTGGCTTAGCAGTTTACTGTTAATCTAACTGCCTTAAAAGTACTTGGAAGATGGCAAAGGCTGTATCCTTTTTATTATTATTGGGCATTTTTTTTTACTAGATACAATACAATCCAGAACAGTAACCTGGGATTGCTTGAAGCAGTGACTAATTAGCTGAAACTTCTGGGTACAAACACCTAGCCAGCATGTAGATGAAGAAGAAAAATGGTATATGCTTGTCTTTTTCTTGCCCCATTCCCATGCCAATTAATCCTTGAACCAAAAGTAACGGAGCAGGTATGGTGGTGACGAATGACTACAAAACCTCCAGAGCACTGAAAAACTGTCGCAGCCTGATTTGGTGGTTCTGGAGTATGGCCGTGGGAGAAAGATGTTGCATTTTCCCATTTCATTTTGCTCGTAGCGTTTGCTTGCTCTCTGTGATATTCTGTCCATCGTGATCTTCAGATGCGGTTAATGCTTTTCTAGGCTGAAAATGGCAGATGCAGAACTAACACCTCAGAATACCGACTGTCAAATGTCGTTAGACTAATAGCTTTAGCTGTCAGTGCTTGGTTTTTTTGTGGGGTTTTCGCTCCCACTTCAGACAGCGCAGCTGGATAGAGAGGGAGACCTTGGTTCGGTTTAACCAGTGGAATTCATGGTCTGGTTTACCACTGGCTACATTTTGCATAACCCCATCAATCTGAAAGCTGTGGGCTGCTCTAATGTCATGCAGGGGGCAATCTGAAGGAGGTGACATCGTTCAAGGTTCAGAGGAAATCTCTGAAGGCAGAGAAAATGTCACATCTTGAAATAAATCCCTGCATGACCAGCTGCCCTATTTCTGCCTTTTTTTTTTCCAGGGAAGGAGAACCATCCAAGGTAGTCGTGCGGTTTGCATAGCAGGTGCAGCTCCGCTTTCTGCTTCCCACTGATTCTTGCAGTAGCTGCAAAACTTGGCCCTTTGATCTCAGAGCTGGCTGGAAATCGAGTGCTCCATGCCAGTGGCTATTGGCTATTTCTTCACATAGTTTGTTTTCTGCTGCTCGCTTTTCCAAGTTGTGTCAGAAAAAAATATGCTAGCCACGCAGAAGATTTTCTGAAATCCAGGAATAAACCTGACTTCTGAGAATATTTGAAGTGACATCGTTACTTTTAGTAATCTTTGTGCCCTTGGGCAGAATGCAGAAGGTAGAATTTTTACCATTCTTCTCTGGTAGTCTCCTAGCTGTGATAGTTACAGGATGCAGAAGAATCCAAGTGCCTTTGGAAATCTGTTGGTTTTTTTTTTGTTAGACGAACTGAGAGAAGAAAGTGGGCAGCTAGTCTGAAAGCCACACGGTCCTTGCATTGGTCTGAACCGTTGGTGTTTGCCTGGAGCAGTTTGGTCCCGTCCATATCTTCATGTTTCCTGTCATAAGCTTGTTGATGCTTTCTTTCGTGCTCAGGTGTCACAGCCCACTTCACTGATTCCACGTGAAAGTTCAAATCACTGGTACGGCCACGCACTCAGGGAGCACGCCAGGGCTGTGCAGAATTTAATTTCTGACACGTGAGAGTCATTTAACAAGTACATGTTCTTAACAGCTTTCATTTCCAGCTATTTTAATTTCTTGATGTGCTTTGCTAACTCCTTCTTTTTTTTCATAGCCATCCAATCTTGCTTCAGTAACTTTGTGAGGTTTTACTTAAACATAGCTCTTTACCAGCAGCTATGTGAGCTATGGATGTGGTTTTTTTTTTGTTTTCCAGTTTATGTAATCATGCCACCATCACCATACCATGGCTCTAATTATACCATTGCAAACCATTAGGTTTGCCCTCCTTATTTTTCTGTACAGCAAAGAACTGAACAGAGGTAAGGCAGTTTTAAACACCATAAATGCATCTTCGCCATTCGCTCAAGGTACTGGACCAAGCCTGTGTTGTAAATGCTGAGGACACTGTGGTAAGATGCTTAGGTTTTGCTCATCTTGCTCTGTACTGCATGGAGATGCTGTCAGGGAGGAGGCCTGCTGCAATTCTCTGTGTTTGCTCCTTTTCATTTTCACGTGAGAAAAACTATTGACTTCACTGCTGTTGAATTCTCTGCAATTATATTGTGGCCTTTTTTCATAGTGCCACCGTTTGAAGACTCAAGTTATATCACAGAATCACAGAATGTTCACGGTTGGAAGGGACCTCTGTGGGTCATCTAGTCCAACCCCCCTGCCGAAGCAGGGTCACCCAGACCAGGCTGCACAGGACCTTGTCCAGGCGGGGCTTGAATATCTCCAGAGAAGGAGACTCCACGACTAGGATTAGGACCTGAAGTCAAGAATCCTCTGGGTCACTTCCTTGTATGAGGCAGAAGAGTGAAGTAAACATTTCACAACGTTGAAGAACATGGTGGTGGAATTCTACACATCCTGGATGTCTGCATTGACCTGCCCTTACCAGACATTGCTCTTAAAACAATTTCCTTTGCGGTAGTGTATTCAGCTGTGGTGGTGAAATCGTTGCTGCTAGCGTACTTGGTGTCAGCGTACATCTGGATGTACACGTGCTCATCTCAGTACAAGGCTGTAAATACATTGCTAGGGAGAGAAAGAGAACATTCTGATGTTGTTATACACCATCAAAATGTTCATCAGGAAAGCCTGGCTTCTGGCATTTGCTTTAACTACGTTTTTGATACAAGGTTTTGCAGCACTTTGGACAATGCTGTATGGGTTGCTAACAGCCAGAGATTCATAGGCAGGAAAACAGAAAGATGCAAAAGCTTCTCAGGTGGAATATACTTAACCATGACATCTTTACGAATAAGTT